CTTCTCTCCACGCACCCCCCCCCTCCCCGAGCTCGCACTCGTGTTGTCTTCTTAAGTGCTTAGCCAATCATGTCGCAGTTGTTTGCTTAGGCGTGACGGGCCCCACACCAGCCATCCAGGATTGTGGTCTTCAGTAGGCGACACCGAACCCTTCCGTCTCTCCCTTCCTCTTGACGGCCTCGTTTAATTCCTTGACCATGCCCATGCACTCTCCCCCCAGGCTCTGGAAGTCTATCTCCCTCTCTTTCTGTCTCCACGAAGTCCTTCAGGAAGAAGGTATTGGTCTCGTACGTTCGCATCGTCCTCTCCAGGGCTTCCAGCGTCTTCCCCCTGAAATTGCCGACTCATTTTCCGTTTTAAACGACATGTTTTTCGCTAACTTGATAGGACGTTTCTTCGCCATTGGATTGCGATGTACCCGCTCCTGAGGTTATTCCCAAGCAACTCCTCTACTTGATGGTACGGGGTTGTTCCAGACGGTCGGTTTTGTGTTCGCGTTTTGGAAAGATTCCCTCCTTTGTGTGCGTGTGAGCGTGCGTGCCTCGCGGCACGGTTGGTGCTTGACTTCCCTGTTCTCACCGACTCGCTGGCGGCGAGGTCCTTCTTGCAGGCCTCGTGCCCAGCCGTCAGCTGCTGCGCCTGCCCCCGCATCGCCTCCACCCACCAGCGGTACTGCTTCCTGAGCCCCTGCAGGTGTTCCTGCGATCTTCGCGCGACAAAATAGGGCTAAGGTTGGGGTTCCTACAAACAGCGATGGCTACGACAACGACGACGATGATGATGGCAGGCGTGGTCACAGCCGAGCGGACAGGCCACGGTCAGTGAGGCATGGAGACCGCCACTAGCTCGTCGATCGAAGGGGGCTCGTGATCTCCAAGAGACGGCCACTCCAAATCGTCTGCGTTTGTTGCCGACTAGCGCTGCCTGGCCGTAGGCGTGTCCGACACGAAAATGTCTTGGGAAGTAGGAGTAGAAACAACGTTTCACCGTGAAAACTTCATACAAAAACACAAGGAACACGTTCGTTCACAGGTTGATTGTTCGACACGGCGGCACAAAAAAAAAGGCGCAAGACACGCGTGAACGCGCTAATAACCATCTAGATCCTGAGCGAAACGTGGTTCTGAACGATACGTGATTTATCCCAGCTTGAGTTCAAAGAACGGTGGGAACTCCCTCATCTCTCTACGCATCCGATCCATCTGTTTGCTTGCGTGATGGCGCTTGTATATTGTTTGACGAATGTTGTTGTCGTTCTTAGTTAGTTTGTGTTACACGCCCGCGTCCGCTCCTCACTCTCGACAACGTCAGGGAATTGCCACAACTGGCGGTAGCATATCGCCTTCCATACCACGGAATAGATGAAAAGACAAGGTAATAGAGAAATCGTTCGAGAACCAACGTATGATACCGTGTAGCGCAACCTAAAACCAAAAATTCGCGGGTGTGCTCTTGACTCTACCCAAGAGTGCCAACGGATCATGAGCAACGCACGGGCGGGGCGGGAAAAAAAACGTAGGGTCCCCGCAAACGTGTTGGAGGCGTTTCTGCCAGGAGGTAGGACTGCGGAGCTCCGTCTGGACGGAGATATGCAGTCAACGGTCCGACTACGAAGTCAAGCCACATACATACGAGAACCTCCCATCCCCACTTGTCTCTCCATCACCAGGTGTGTTCAGTTCCAAGGGTATCTACGACACCGCACATCCACACGAGCACACAGAAACGACCCCCATTTTCGTCCGTATCACCACTAGTTCCAGGGAAATGTCATTCGCACGTCGCGGGAATTGCGGGAAAATGCGGGGCAACAAACGAACGGACGGGCAAAGAGGGCGGACATAAAATCACGGAGGAACGCACACAACGGAAAAGGTATGTTTGTCATGATAATTCCCTCCGTCCCCTGAAATTCAAACGCACGTACACGCGCCATGAACATAATCGGTTGAATTTCACTTTAGGGGGGCGGCAGGAATAGCGTCGTTTCGCAGTGCGGCCAACGGAGCACGCGATCGATGCCGGGAAGCTTGCCTTTGCCTTTTCAGGTGGTGGGGGGGGTGTAGTCATAGTCGTGCATGCCGTAGTGCTTACACCACTGACCTCGCATCCCTACAAAGCCGGGACGGAGCATGCCGGGTTCTCACCGGACCAGGCTCTCACATCACCAAGCGCGAAGCGCCGTGAGGTATTCGGCGAGTCGCATGAAAGGTGCGCTGCATCCTGCTAAGGGTGTTCGGCATCTTGTGTTTACTTCCTTGCATACGGATGACAGCTGCGTATGACTTGATTTATTTTCTGGTCCTCTCACTTCCATGGACAGTTGAAAGCACTGTGAAACTGCCTCGAGGGTGTGCTTGACCAATTTAACACAACGTGGTGCGATTATCCCCTTTGCGTGGAGTGAGGGTTCTCGACCCTGCATAACATAATCTGCTCGACCACCATTCATGGTCACCGCAAAAAAAAAACAAAGGCAAAAAAAAAAGCGGTAACCTGGTTGCCGAGCTCACGAAGTGATCGGCTTGTTTTACAACATCGCTGGAAAGCGACGAAACCCCAACCCCGATGGCAAACGCCGAGGCGCGCGGCAGGTATGGTGGGGAGCGCAAACCAGCAACAGCAGCAGTGACGTTCGCCGGTGAGCACAAAACAAGCGAGCGCCAACACACAGCCGCCCGTCGACAACGGGGAGCGACAGCAGAAGCCCAACAACCCTACACGACTGTGACGACGCTGGCGGGCATGGCTACCCTTGGCGGCGATCGATCGGACAGACGGAAGAACGAAAACACCTCCTCGGGATTGGTTTTGGTTTGGTTGCCGCGCAGCCCCTTCAAGCAAAAACAAATCCTCCGTACGTTTCTAACGTGTGGGTGGTATGTATCTCTTGTCAACGATACACCATTCGTCGGGGTTCAACTGGGGGAAGATTTTCAGCAGCTTACGTCATGTTGAACAGGGAGTGATTGCGAAGTGTGAATGACTGTCGCTGTTTTGCCGAAAGCTACTGCACATCTCGACTAGTTCCTGCTTTCCCCGCCCCCTCCGCATCAAGTCTGTTTGTCAATACCGCCGTGCGTCTGCAATGATTTTGCTTCTCTCAGTCAGTATAAATTCGGCCACCTTTTCGTGTCTAGAGTCTTGACTTTTTCCATCTCCTGGAGGCGTTTCTCCTTATTCTGATGCAGTCACCGCATCGTGTCGTCAGAGCTCTGAAGCTGCTTGTCCTTGAAAATTTTCTCGTCTTCCATTTCCTGGCGGCGGCAACATCAACAATAACAACAGACGTTTATCCCCCATTCACTGAAAAGACTAAGACTTAACACATCCCCTTCGACTGTGGTATTATCCAGAATGGGGAGAATTTTCTAAACAAGGACGGTTCTTGGTTTCGGCACCCCACCATGACCCGCAAGTATGCATGCATGTATTTGGCAGAATTTAGCACGCCGACGGTAGAGAGAAGAGGGGGGAGCGGGTGTCACCGGGCCGCGACCGTGATCGAAGTGTTTCCGAATCATCGATACGTGGCACAGCTTCTTCTCTGGGCTTGACAATGCAATCAAGGTTTCAAAGGTATCTACATCAATCGGTCCTGGGTTACTAGTCCCACAATTGACTCATACTACCACCGTGGGTGGGCGCGGTAGCCTCCGTGGGAAGAGACGGAGGAGGCAGCAAACATCCGTTTATCCTTTTCGGCTTTTTATCGTATGTTGTTCCGGCCGGCCGTCCTCACCGGTGCCGTAAATACGATGATGAATACTTTGCTAAGGTCGCGAGATTCGGAGGGCGCAGGCTGACATGATCGGGGAAGTGAACAGACAATATGCTCCCCCCCCGATCCAGCCCGCTGGAAGGGTTCAGGGAATTGTCCCCTGACCCCTAAAGGGCAAACGCCTCTTCTCGTGGTTGCCCGATCATCAACCCAGGTGTCTCACTTGACACCGACCCCGAAGCGAAATATCTAATTGGCCATACGCTGTGCCTTTGCTCGCCAAGTGCGAATCCCTGTGAGTGCTGAACCTGATACGTCGAATGCAGAGCTTGCGAGGAACTACGTGATCGATCGCTGTTGGACGTCGTCAATCGCCCTCTAGGCGTAATGTTCTACATAATACAGAAGTAGATCGTTCTCCGCAGATATAGTGCACTATCTCTGCCCAGGTGAGTTGTGTAGCATGACTTGGTTAATATCGAGTAAAAGCCTTTTCTGTGTCATGGTACGTACTATTACGGAGAGTTGAACTCCGTGCGTAACCGTGGGAGGGCCACCACATTATTGTCGGTTTCCCCTCTTCGGTTTCACATTTTCGGCTCAACTTGTTCGGGTTTTTTGGTTCATTTAACCTCTTCGGTTTCGGTTCAATTTTTTCGGCTCAACCATTGCGGCTTATCCTTTTCGGTTTCCCTTTTCGGTTTTGGTTTAATTTTTTCGGTTTCACGCCTTCGGTTTATCCTTTTTTTTTCCTCAACCTTCTCGGTTTCGCGTTTTTGGCTCCACTTTTCGGTTTTTTCGGTTTAAGCAAAACCCTTTCGGCTTATCCCTTTCGGTCCTTTTCGGTTTAACCCTTTGGGTTTCTGTTTAGTATTATCGGCTTACCCTTTTCGGTCGTTTTCGGCTTAACCTTGTCGGTTTCACGTTCGTTCTCGGTTTCACGTTTGTTTGTTTTCAGGTTATTCTTTTCGGCTTAACCTTATCGGTTTCACGTTTTCGGTTGATCCTTTTCGGCTTAACCTTTTTTCGGTTTCATGTTTTCGGCTTAACTATTTCGTTTTTTTCGGTTGATGTTTCGGCTTAACCTTTTCGGTCCTTTTCGGTTTAACCTTGTCGGTTTCACGTTCTTGGTTTCACGTTTGTTTGTTTTCGGTTTATCATCCTTTTCGGGTTAACCTTTTCGGTTCACGGTTTCGACTTAACATTACCGGTTTAATCTTTTCGGGTTAACCTTTTCGGTTTCTCCTTTTCGGTCGTTTTCGGTTTCATGTTTTCGGGTTATCCTTTTTGGCTTAACCCGTTCGGTTTCACGTTCTCAGTTTCACGCTTGCTTCGGTTATTATCTTTTCGGCTTAACCTTTTCGGCTTCTCCGTTTGTCGGTCCTTTTCGGTTTCACGTTTTCGGTTTCACGTTTTGGTTTAGCTTTTTCTGTTTGATCTTCTCGGTTTCATGTTTTCGGCTTCTCCTTTTCGGTACTTTTCGGTTTCACATTTGTTTTCGGTTTCATATTTTCGGCTTAACTTTTTCGGCTGAACCTTTTCGGTTTCACGTTGTAGTCTTAATTTTTTCGGTTTAGTTGTTCTGGACGGACTTGTTGGAATTTCTCCGTGTTGGTGGACTACTCTGAGCCCATGAATGATTTCTCCGTGTCAGAGGATTACTCGTACGTTGGAACCGGGTCGGTAACCACTAACGCTAACCCCCACACCTTTGAGAGTCACCCAAAGACCTCGACGGGCGACGTCGAAGTTGTCTCAGATGACCCGCAACTAGATGCGCGGGGCCACCGTCATGCGACCAAATAGCGAGGTGCCCAACCGCGTCGTCCTGCGGGCACCCTTGACGGCGTCGGGCGACATCGACTGCTCCCCTACGACTAGCCAACGTCATGGGTCAGCACCGCCGCCGTGGTCAGCACCTACAAGCCGAACACCAACCCCTCATGCAGGGGGCAGCCCAGCCTGCCCAACAAGGGGCGGGGCCGCCGCATCCCCCCCGCCGCATGGTGGAGTGCCCCCCGTTCCTCCGCCGTCGCCGCTTCCCCCGCAGGGAGCGGCGCACCCCCCTCCACCGGGAGGGGTTGGAGGGGTTCCACTCATTCACCTGGGTGGCCCCCTCCCGCCGCAGCCGCAGCTACCGCCGCCGATGCTGCAGGTGCTGCACCCCCTACCGGGCGGAGTTCAGCCCCAGCACCAGCCGGCCGGGCAGTAGCAGCAGCAGCAGCAGCAGCCCCGGAATCACCTGCTTGGGCAGCCCCTGCAGGAGCAGCCCGAGCCTCACCCACGAGGGCAGCCGCAGCAACAGCATCAGCTACCGCCGGCCCAGCACCCTAGGCCGCAGCAGCCGGGCCGCAACAGCCGGGGCCTCAGTAGCCGGTGCCGCACTTCCAGAGGATGTCGCGAACAAAGTCACGAGGGGGCGCCTCGACCAAACCCTTTGGTACGCCCGTTTTCCAGGAACCGCCGGTGGCGCCGGCGGGACCAGTGCTCGACCGTGGGCCGCTCCGGACGTTGGCGCCTCCGACGCCACGGGAGGAGACCGGCCCGCCGCCCTTCGAAGCGACCGCCGAAAATCGGGCAGCGGGGGAGGACGAGAAGGTTCTTGATGGCGTCTCCCACGTTGCACTTGGGGCGACTAAGGTATGCCGCCAGCCGGCGGTGCCTCTACCCGCCTTTAGTCCCTCCAGCTCACACTGGAGCTGCCCCCTGCGGCTTCCCCGAGCCGTTGCTCTGGGCGACGGTGACGGCGGAGCGTTCCTGGCACTCGAAGGTCTGTTACGAGTTGACGTCGCCATCGAGCCGGACTGGACCACACTGGAGTGTGCGAGAGCTAAAAGCTGGAGTAAAGAAATCCGCGTAGTCCCAACTCCGCTTGTTGGCCGCCACTGCACGCAGTTGCCGAACGAACTCCGACCGGAAGTCCTCATCGCCAACGCCTGCGAACGATACAACCCCAACCACCGCGATGACACGGCGGTCACCCAGGCCGCTGCCATCTTGGACACCTTCACCGCCTCCAGGGCGCAGCTGCTGCTCCTGAAGTGCACAGAGGGAATACCCAGGACACCGGCGTTGAAGGACCGCCTGTGATCGACCTTGGAGCAGGCCCGGTGCACCGTGGAGGATGCCACGCTGCATGCCACCTATGCTGGCGTCACCCACCGGGAAGCACCGAGCCTTCCTCGTGGCCATCAAGCGGCGGCGCGATATCACCCCGGAGACTTCCTGGTGGGCACACTGGTCGGCCGTGAACTCACCGACAACGACGGACAGCTCAAGGTTTTCAAGGTTTCCGTCTTCGACTACTGCGACTCATACTGGCGTGTGGAGTACCCGGACGGAGATTGGGAGGAGCTTACGAAGCGAGAAATGGATGCGGGCATCGGCGTCGCCGCCCGACCATCCCACTCTGCCTAACCCTGGAGGACGAACTCCTACCACTGCCATGAGCCCGCCGACTGTCGTCTGGCGGCCTAGAGGGGTGTGCCAGCAGTGGGAGGATGTGTCGAAGCGCTGCGTCGTCTTCTTTTCTCACCGGGGGAGACCCAAATTATACTTATGTGGGCAGGGGAGTATGGACCGCGTGCTGGCACCGTACGGCCGCTCCGTTAGCATAGCTGTGTACCACGGACGGTGTATGCTGGGGGGGTGTTCTTGACGGTCGTGTACGTCGGTTCTAGATAGTGCGATGATGGACACTTGTGACGCAAAGCCACAAGTGCCCGGAGGGGGGTCCCGAGAAGATGTAACCGTCTCTCGGGGTGATAATGGAAACCAACGGAAGAATTCCGATTGGTTACCATTCCCCGCGCGATGATGAAACGGTTCCTCCGAATGACGGCTGGCAGCTACCTTGCCGCTTGCCGTCAGTGACCTTTTGTGTCCGGAAACTGAGCACGAAACATCTGTGAACGAACCCGACCTGAGCGCTATTGACCTGACATCACAACTGTGAGTCATGACGACGCCTGCCTGCATGCATGCATGCCTGACAAGATGATGGAGTATCGGAGGAGGTGGAACGCATGCATAATTGGAGTACCGCTACTTGCTCGCTTGTGTTGATGATGGAACGTTTGGCATATGTCTAAAAAAATATCGAACTCGCGAGACTAGCTATTATAGTGATCTGCGCAGGTGAGAGTGTATTTGCCTGGAATATCGTAGTCTAGCCTTGTTTCTGGATCATAATCTTTTTGGCTGAACCTTTTCGGTTTCGGTTTAAACTTTTCGGCTAAAACCTTCTCGGTTTTTATCCTTTTCGGTTTATTTAGCATTTTCGGTTTCACGTTGTTCTCGGTTTCACGTGTTCGGTTTATCCTTTTCGGCTCAATCAAGCTTTCTTTTCGGTTTCACGTTTGTTTTCGGCTTAACCTTTTCGGTTTCATGTTTTCGGCTTAACTTTTTCGTATTCTTCATGTTTTCGGCTTAACCTTTTCGGTTTCGGTTTACCCTTCCGGCTGAACCTTTTCGGCTTATCCTTTTCGGTCTTTTCGGTTTAGCCTTTTCGCGACCCCTTTTCTGTCTACGTTCTCGGTTTCACGGTTCGGTTATCTTTTCGGCTTAACCTTTTCGGCTTCTCCTTTCGGTTTCTTTCATGTTTTTGGTTTAACTTTTTCGGTTTCGGTGTAATCTGTTCGGTTAAATCTTTTCGGCCCCTTTCGGTTTCTTTCACTGTTTCGGTTTATCCTTTTCGGCTCAACGTTTTCATTTTTTCGGTTTAATCTTCTCTGTTTCATGTTTTCGGCTTTACCTTTCTTTTCGGCATATATGTGGAGACCACTTTCATAAAGGTAGAAACTCCCCAACGTCTGTCGAGGACGATTCCCTCTTTTCACATATATATATATATATATCCTTTTCGGCCCTTTCTTTCCGGTTTCACGTTTGTTTGTTTGTTTTCCGGGTCACATTTTTTTTCGGTTTATCCTTCCTTTTCGGCTCACCTTCTTTCTTTCTGTTTCAATTTTCGATTTCAGGTTTTCGGTTTAATCTTGTCGGCTTAATGTACTTTTCGGTTTCATGTTTTGGGCTGAACGTTTTCGTTTTTTCGGTTAAACCTTTTGGCTTCACCTTTTCGGTTGGTTTCGGTTTAACCTTTCCGGCGTGTCACCTTTTCGGCTTCTCCTTTTCGGTTTGGCCTTTCTTGTCTCGGTCTAACGTTCTCGGTTTCAAATTTCGGTTGTCTTTTTCGGGTTAACCTGGTTTCATGTTTTTGGCAAAACCGCTCCGTTTTTTTTGTCAAATTTAACGTTTTCGGCTTAACCTCCTCGGTTTCAGTTTAATCTTTTCGGCTTAATCGGGTATCAAAGAGCTGAGAAAGAGAAGCGTCTACCCATAACCGCGGAAGGCATCCGCGTCAGTTGGATCGGTAAGGATGTTACAAGGCACTGAGCAAAGATCGATATTAAATTTGAAGACAACAAGCGTGCGTGCGAAGCTTGTCCCCCAATTGCGGGGCAGCGGCTGTAGGCTGTGCGCGGCTCGCTCACCCTCGTGCCGCCCTTGTCCGGGATGTGGCGCTGAGACTCGAGGTCATTGCTGATGTGCTCCAGGAGGCCTACGATCGTGTACTTTGCCGATCGCTGGTCGTCGAGGACCTCCTACTGCTTGGTCTGGTCGAACTTCTCCATGAACTCCGTCATCTCCTTGTCCCGCTTCTGTAGCACCTCCACTTTTGCGTCGGTCATATTCGTCTTGAAGGTGACGCGATTTTGCTATACTACCATGAACGATTACACCCTCTCGTGTGAAACAGCAGTGCTACGAGAATACGGCACTGGTCAGAAAGGGGGGGGGGAAACCCACACATAAAAAAAAAAACACAGGCCCTGCGCACAGCAAGTATGGTCAAGACAACCCCGACATGTTACATGTCCAGCGACGACGAAGGGAGTGTTGAAAACCGATCCTGCCTACGCTTTGCGCCGTTGTTGGTTCTGTTGATTATCACGATAGCTCATTGCCAGAATCTAGCCCTTGGTTGGTCACAAACCAGGCAAATATTCGTGGTGCTAGGAGGAAAAATAGCAAAAAAACAGCAATCGGAAGGCCCCACAGTGCATACAGAAAGCAGGCGTACCGCCCAACAGGGGGTGATATGTTTCTATGGTGGTGGCCAAAAATTGAAAAAACGCGAAAATACTGGCGGTTCGAAGAAACAAATCGAAAAAACACAAAACAACTACTTCAAAGCATACCCAAAAAGCCCAAACAGACCCAGAAAGCAGACAACACGACAACCACAACAGTCCGAGAAATAGAAGGGGATACGAGAAAAGGTAATACCGTAACGAACCAAGGAGAAGAACAGGAAAACATGGGAAAAGAGGACGGAAAGGCCATGATCAATATAGGGAGGAAGGAAAAATACGTATTCATGTATTGAAGGGAATAGAATACGGTATAGATGGGTGTACACAGCGCGGTCAAGCGCAAACGAAGCTCGATACAAGGTCTTCCTGCTCACGCTTTTGCCCTCCTCACTCGCACTCATGTTTCTCTGCTACTTGTATCACCTCACACTGCTGGGGTTCTATCCTACTTCAACTTTTAAGTATGTATGGGGGGGGGTATGTAGTAGGGTGGGGGCGGCAAGATAATCAGTAACAAACATTCGACATACGAGCATCGGGGGGGGCTGACAACGTATGTCGCTGTCACGCATCCTGGGTAGTAGCATGCTTCGTTCAGTACCGAAGAGGAAGACGCAAGCCCACACATCAAGTTCAACAAAGCCTGCCCACACCGGAGGAGCATATCATAATCATCAACATCATCATCGCGGTAGTAGCGGCACAAACATACCCGCAAATCACTATCCTGCACATCATCGTACGTACTACCCTGGACGCCGGACAAGTCAACCACAATCAGCACAACATGTCGAGGCTGGAGGCCCAACCCCAGCTCTATCTAGCATAGAGCCGATACTGCTATTTACTAACGTTCACACTCCGCCTGCCCTTCGCCGCAAAGAAAATCTCAACCTCGGTACCTCGGTTTCTCCCCTAATATCCAACGTCTCGGCAGGGACAACATGCACTTGAATTAACTCTCTTATGCGTAGGGCTCCCGTTCTCCCGAGAACCCCAACTCTTTCAATGGCGCTTATTATACTACGGTGATGTACGAAACGCAGAGGGAAAAAAACCGCCTCGCTGCCGCGCCAGACTTCACATGTAGATGGGCCAGCGAGCGAGAAATAGTACTACTGTACGGTCATGCCGAGTGTCACACGGCAGATGAGCGGGCTAGCGGCGTGATCAACAATCCACCTTTTTAATAGCTTTTCGCGTGCTGCTCGCTGTGTCATGCATTGCGTATGTTACATATAGCACCAAAACCTTGCCTCTCTACGAGCAACCATGCCACGGGCCTGCTCGTATCACAACCTGAATGAGGATACGATTGGCAGGGTCTGCGGAGAGATTGCTCGCTCCATGCCGTCGGCGTCCTTGACCTTTTTTCGCACAACACGGGAGAAGCAAGAGAATTGACAACCGGGTGCGAGGATTGATTTAAACAAAGCGAAAAACGTGCGAGGGTGCCAATGCCGTGTGCGTTTGAACAACCGATTGTTGCCGTGTGCCCGAAATTCCTCGATTGGTGTCGCCATAGTAAATAGGACGAAAAAACACACACACACAGAGCGTGCAGCCTCCGCTTTCTCTCTAGTCGCATCATGCTGTGTAGCTGCTGACCCTCGTGTCGCCGCGAACTATTTTTTATCATGCAGGGTGCTCTTAGCTGCTGCTGAGGTGTGGATCTCAACCACATAAAAGCATCAACATCCTTCAACACCAAACGGTCGACCTGACAACACACGAAGAATCACCCACAGAAGAAGCAACAAGAGCGTGGAATGGTTGCGACGAGCCATGCCAACCCCATGAACCGCGAACAACGCACCATGGATTCTATCTGGTAGAGGGTGTTGAGAATATGGTCCACCGCTGGACGCTTCTCCGGGTCGTTCGCCCAGCACCCCTGGATGAGGTTCTGGACCCGCTCAGTTACGGGGCTTCCTCCAGGCCAGGAAAACCCGGCGGGAAATTCGGGGCGGAGACCCCGGCACACCTGCCGCCAGCAGTGCAGATGGTGTTGATTCGCCCGGGACACGTACAGATTAAACACCGGCGTGTATTGCTTTTTCTTAAGTTCTCGCTTGGATGTCCTCACTCTGGTGGTAATGAAAAAATTCTTGTTGGATGGGAACCCATTGCACAAAATGTTGGTGCTGCGGGTGTGGTAATATTAACGTGTACACCCGACCGGTCTAACTCAACCACCCGAGCTATACATACCCCATCCTTTTGGTGGCCACGACCCGAGGATGTTTTACCCGTTCCTCCTTAGGACATTTTTACCGGGTGCAACCTTTATAGATACTACGGTCTTTTCGGTATGTAGTTTTGTTTGCTGGATCGCACGCGCGAGCCACGTACGACTAGCCAAGATATAATGAGCAGAACGGCGACTGGCTGAGAGGCGTTCGATGCGTACAAAAGGAAACAAATGCAACGATGGTTGACGGAGCTCGGCGAAGTTGGCATGCCCTGTTTCCCGGGACAGGCACAAAAACGATTGTAAGTGACCTTCCACCAGTGTACCAAAATCTAGAGTGCAGTCGGAGGTTGGCTGGTGAGAGCTCACAGCGTACGCAGCACGTAAACAGTATGTCCCAATCGAAGCCCAATCGAAGCTTTTGATAATGCAAACATGCACGGCAGTACGCACAAGGGAAGAGAGCTTCACGCGATAACCACTACTACCACCACCACCACCAGGTCACGATCCTGTCTTACGAATGCTTCTGACGAATCGCGTTGGAAGAGCATCGAGAAAAAAAGGCTTTTGGCCTTGGGCGAAACCTACACACAAAAGAAATGTGAAAAGACGAACCTCCTGGTTGATAGCATGGCCAGAAACATCGGGCTTGTAGGGGCGGTGGTAGCCGGTGAACAGCAGGAAGACGGTAACGCCCAACGCGAAGACGTCGGTGTGAGGGCCGCTCCTCAATTCCTTCGTGAATTTTCCTGGCTCGATGACCTCAGGCGCCATGAAACTGGCGCGTTTGAGAAAGGATGCGTGGGGAGTTGCTTGGGGTACTGAGTGGAAAGTTAAAAACCTTGGGGGCAAGTGATTCATTTTTGGAAAATGGCAGACGAAAGAGGGTAAAAAAACCAGGGCATAGATTTTGTGGAAACACGCCACAGCCCAGAATTCTCGGGGGGTTTTGTGTCTCGGCGGAAGTGAGCGTGGTCGTTGCCAAATCAGCTACGCCCGTTACACAGTCACGTCGCCTTCTGTTCTTGGTACATATAGGCTGCTATGACCGCCCTCTCTCTGGTGGGAATTGAACTTCCGTCCGTGAAGTACCACCGAACAAGGGCGTCACCGCCATTGTCCCAACCACCCCGGCGGCGAAAACGCACGCGTTCTATTTTACCAAGCGCTTGTCATTGTCAGTCATGGCGTTCTGGTATAGTTGAACCATCCACGCGGGTGACCGAACTTACCCGAATGTTCCGCCTAGCGTGCGGTTGGATGTTTGGGTACCGTTCGAGATGATCTTGGCCAGGCCGAAGTCCGTCAGCTTCGCTTTGCCCCCGCCGCCGGCTCTGTCGAGCTGCCGATTGTCAGATCGTACATGTATGAGTTACAGCCAGGACAATATGCTTCTCGCAGCCAAAGATTGAGACCTACCCAGGCAATCGTTTTTTATTCATGTGCGCAGGACGAAGAATACTTCATCTCGCCACCCTTTGGTACGTTCATGTCAGTGCCGTACAATCGCTATGTCTCTCTCGAGTCGAAGAGTCTTCGGCCACCGTTGTTTCAATTTTTTTCAGTACGAGCATCGATCCGGCAGGGCAGCACTCTTCCGTTGCACTGACGGTTAGACTGTTGAGACACCAAAGCCGAATCAAAGGGGGGGCGGCATGGTGATAACCCTCTTTGTTGTGTCTTCATGAACCTCCCTCTCTCACCATGACATTGCCGGGCTTGAGGTCGAGGTGAAGGAGCTTGTGCCGGTGAAGGTGGTCAACCCCCGCGGCGATGTGGCGAGCATACTTCAACGCGTCACCGTAGGTGATAACCTGCGTGCAAAACCAGCGAGTCAATGGGCGAGTCGGCAATAACGCTGCACCACGCAGGCAACGGCACGGTGGTGTTTGCGGCACGAAGCCGGTTGGACAATTTGTCAGGGCAACGGAGCAACTACAAAGACTTCCGCATCATTACCCTTTCTCCTATCAAGCGCAGACAGACGCAGAATCGCGACTGCCCCCCGCAACCAACAAGCGTTCATGAGGGACGCTATCACTGCATGAACAGCCATACATATCTGCCCCATACGCTATGGCGCGGCATCGGTGTCACCCCGTCTTTGCAGAATCCATCGTGTGTAAAAGTGTACGTCAGGTGTTCCTCTTCTACATACCTCCATTTCGTCTCCACCAAACGCGTCGTTGAGCAGGGTCTGCAGGGAACCGCCGTTGCACCAGTCCGTCACAAGCCGCAGCGCGCGGTCGGACTTGCTCCTTTGAGTGACGCCCACCATCTGGTTGTGGGTTTTGGTGTTGTGAATACCATCGCGGGGGGAAAGGCGTTGAGTATTTGAATATTAGATTATGTTGGTGGGCGAATCTCAACTATTTATTGCTGTGTGGTTTCAGCGGACCATCCGTTGGAGAAGATGCGACCGATGAGCCTATGCGCGGTTCAGCGTCGCTCAAGCTTTAGTATATAACACCAACAGCTATTTCTCACATCGCTCGGTACGTAGGTGAAACGTCAGACACGCGGGGCACAGAGAAACTTGGCTGATTGTCACACTAACACCACCCAGGAACGTACGTCGAATTGGAACGTGGTGGGATATGGTAGATGCCCTACGCCTGCCCCCGACTTTGCTCACCAAAATGTTTGAAAAGCCAAAGTGGTGAACAGCAAAATGTCCCTCTATTCCCGATGAAAAAAATGGTACATCTATCACGTCTCTCTCTCTCTCTCTCTCTCTCTCTCTCTCTCCCGGTAGCTCGCGAAATCAACATCAACAACGTCAAAAACGTCAAAAACGTCAAGTCAGACTCACGGGCACGATGTGTGGGAACGACGGGATGCTAAAGTGTACCCGCATCTCTCTCACGAACAGGTCGTAGTCGTCCTTCGCCAGGCTTGGCAGGAGTTCTTTCACCGCCACCTCGGCGCCCTTCCGGTACACCGCTTTCCTCACGAACCCCATGCCACCCCTGCCCGACTCGTCCTGAAAGTCCAGGTCTTCGACCGCCAGCTGCGGCACGCGCGGCATCACCCCCGCGGCGTCCTTGACGTCCCGCGAACTCGGGGCCGTCCCGAACCCGTAGGCGGGTGGCGGCGGTCGGGGGCGATGGCGATTTACACCCGGCATGGTGGCAGCCGAAGGGCCTTCGTGCCGGGACGGCACCAGCTCGTTCTTGTGGAAGTCGGACTCCGGGTTGTCCCTCGTCGTGTGGTACGTAGACCGGATCATGTCGACGGAGGGGGGGACGGGAGCGCTGTCGTGAATGACGGCTTTAATCGACGGGAGGAATTCCAGGTGGGTCCCTGCGCTTGACCGAAAATGTGGACGACGGCGCGGAGAACGGACGCGGCGGGTCTTTGCGTTGCACACAATTGGCGCGACGCGAGATGAGATGTATCCACGAAAGCGACAGATGTACCGAAAAAAATCAGTAATACTGTTGAGGCTAGAGGTCGTAAGAAAAGGACCCAAACTCTCCCCAGCTATTATCGTGGTGAACGTTATGTCATAATCTTCAACGCCTTTCCCCCATGTGTCGGCGCTGCCTAGTGCATCATCTTCAACGCATTTCCCCCATGTGTCGGCGCTGCCTAGTGCTCACAAGGTGGCGTTTTTTTCAGCTCAGGGTGAGAAATAAATACCCGCTAAGCGTCAACGTTATTCTCTACCAGGTATCACGTAGCGCAGACAAGGGATGGGTCATTGTTGCCCCCAAGACAATGGAAGTTGAGCGAAACAAAACACAGACACAGAGAATAGCGGCGGGACGTAGAACTACAGAGAAGCGGCGGCGTCTCACCAAGGCAAAGCTGGAGGGACTTTCCCCTGACGAGGACCGTGAGCTGACCATCCGTTAGACCACCGTACGGAACGCTGTACCCGTAGTACAGCCGTCCGTTCTCCTCATCTGTCGAGCCCCCAAAAGTCATGTACGTATTCGGCACAGCGGTACAATACGATGTCAGGTACGCGAAATGGATGTATACCGGGGGGTGGCGGTTTCATGATCAAACACCAAGATACGTCGCGGCGGGGTGTCGAGAGATCCCAGTCATGTCCAAACGGCTGCGATTAAGATGCATGCAAGGTACGTCGCGGCGGGGTGCCGAGAGATCCCAGTCATGTCCAAACGGCTGCGATTAACATGCATCCGGCGAAACCTCAAACAAAAAAACTCCCTCCTTTCCTTGCGTAAACAGAACCCTATCACAGGTCGTTGACACTTTCTGTTTTCGACGTCACTCCAAAAACAAAGACCCATAGTTTATGTGGTACGCAGTTTCACATTTTCTCACCGAGCTTGAAGCCCCCGACGGCGCTGTTGGTGTTCACTTTTTCGATGAGTCGTGACAGGGGCTCCACTCGGTGCCGGGGAACGGCATCCACCATGAAGACCCGGACCTCCAGCATCTTCTCGTCCGTCTTGTCGCAGGCCCAGATCACGGCCGTAGCACCCTTGTAGTCGTACACGCCCTGCACCACGTGCGAGGCACCCTCGACGTCCGATTCCAGCGAGCAGCAGTCCCCGCGTTCGAGCAGCAGGTCCTTGAATGCCTTGGCGGCGACGGAGTTCTCGGCCGCCCGTGAAGGTCGCACCGGCGAAGGTTGGGGAACCGGAGCGGGCGTCGGCGTCGGCGTCGTCGTCGTCGTCGAAGAAGAAGAAAAAGACGACGACGACGAGACGGGTTCGGGTTCGGGTGCCGGGCGACGAGAGCTACCGCCGCCGCGTTCCTCTTCCAACAGCCTGGCTTTGGCCGCGTTCGCGTCTTCGATGCTCCCTCCCCCGATGATGAGTTTCAGTCCGGGCATGTAGACGTAGAAAGTGGCCATGAACACCGAGAACCTGATGGCGTAGTTTGTTTGTTGTTGTGCATTGGTTGAGTGGGAGCTGGATGTGTGAGTATACTGTATAACAGAGCACCACCAGGGTGCAAGGGGTTGGTGCAAACGCTTATTTTATCCTCGCCAACGAAAACAGCTCCATGCGCAACGAAAGGGAGCGTGTCGCGCACGCAAAAGTCTCACACACGTAAATCGGCTTCCCCGGACCACGGCGGTAAGCCCTTGCTTACCGCTTCAAACGGTTTTGGGTGCTTCTCGGTTACATATCCGTGGTCTCGGCATGCGTAATGCCGGATGACTACAGTAGCCACTCTGTACTAGTACAGCAGTGGTGGCTCTGACGTTTCGATAACAAAACGACTGCTGCTGTATCTTCGTACTGTGAGATTTCCACGCGCAGACCTGCTCAGCAGCATAGAGCAACCTTCACAGGATAGAACCAGCACCCCCCATCATCCCCCACCAAGGGAAAATGTACAGGACAACATAAATAAGCCGTTGAGCATGACGTCCGCAGAAGGATTTGCGGGGTATGGCCAGCGGGGGAGCGACTCGATTGGGTGGCTAGCACCTGCGAAATCTCCGAACCTTGTACTGTGTACAGTAGAAGAATTGCACTGCTCACCATGATCGAAGAAGATGAGTGCAGTCTGATTGCGTCATTCCCTCAAGAGGCAGGGTGCAGTTGTACATCACCTCGCCGTCACGCATGTCGAGCTCGAACTTTCCGTTGTTGAGATTAAAGTTAACCTGGCCACGCCGAAACGAACAGATCGCCCGGGACGGGGTTGGTTGTGGGGGGCGGCACATGTAAACGTACAGCAACACGATAATAATTCTTGCGTACATCACATGGATTGCATCGATCGGAAGCGCGACAGCTACATGTATGTAAACTGCCCCAGGTATCCACGGAAATCAAGGGTAACAACGTTATAACAACCATTCCATTATGAACCTTTCTTTGGCTAGAAGGGGGATAACCTAGATCACTTGCCAATACTCAATTAGCCTGTGTTCTACTCAAAGGACGACAGGTATTCGTCTGGCAAACAGAAAATTAGGGCTTATGGTGTCGACAAGCCATTGGAAAGAAGGTTCTTCCGTGCGAGCGACGACCGTCGAAGTGGAACGTGTCATGCCCTTCAGCAGTACCGTGCAAAAAACAAATATTGTCCTTTTACCTGGGCAAAGTACGTCGCGACGACGCTCCGCTGTCGTTCGTCGCCAACCTTGTCTTCGAGGACTGCGAGCATAGTGCTGCGAATGTTGTTCCCCGGTTTGCACATGAACCGTACCGTGTACCCTCCCGTGAACTTCGCTTTCAGCGTGGTGACGGAGGAGTCGGACTGTATCACTTCGTAGACGTACTCCCTGCCCTTGAAGATGTCTTCCATCGCCTGCGTGACGAATGCCGACGTTATCTTCGCCGTCGGCGCTAGAGCATACGAGAAAGCGAGGTGGAGGAGGCGCAAAATGACGCGTCAGGCAAGCAGGTAGGAAGGCAGACTGGCAAAGCTGCTATTGGCATGGCTTCTAGCCATCATGCGGTTGCTGAAATACGGTTGTCCCACGTCCGTCCGCGGAAGATAGTCCGCGTTCTCCGTCCACCCCCTAACGCCCTACGCAAGTGGCTGATGCAAACCATTCCCGTCATGGACACCCTCGGGCGAAAACCAGCAGATGAGCACTGAATTTCGTTTTATCTTCCCCTTGTGGAAGAACAAAGGCCGTTGGGGCAATGAAACTTCCTTTGCGCATCAAATCTTCGTTCGTGATTTAGAACAATCTCAATCAACACTCACCCGCAGGGTTTGTTTGCTGCGAAAAGCTCAAGTCAGCCCGAGTCCTGCCAAGCGCATGTTCCTCCTTCCCTTTTTTATACAACCACCCAGTCTGGGATGAGGTATCCTAAGGCTCCAAAACCGTGGGTGTGTACCCGCTCTATAGTGGTCAGCGACGTCACCGCACCTTCTGAAGGCGAGGAGCTAGATCCACCGCGTATTGAGGACAACGTTTGGTCCACGACCCCCTCTGCTGCCTCAAGGCTCCGTCCTTCGATGAGGGCCTTCATGCCATGGCGATAGACGGCAAAAGTGGCCATGAACGCTTTGAACCTGAAGGTTGACGTGTCGTCCGGCATTTTTTTGTGAGAGCGGGTATGACGGGGGTGTATCGATACTCTTCGTATATACGCGGATGGATGTGGGCGCCGGGGTTGCCTGACAGCGGTGCAGCGACGGGTGCCGCTATTGTTGGAAGTTGAAATTGTGACAATCGATCGTTGCCCGATGAACATTTGCAACGTTGTTGTATTTATCTGCAAGATGACCAGAATAGTAATATTGTATACAACAGGATACTTGTAGTCTATGTACCGCCGTTGAATGGGGATCGACAACATCAGAGAGCCTCGCATCCATCCGTCTCGCTCAAAAAGCCACCGAGCGCAGTTCGCGCTTCCCACCGCATGCGTGCGCGTGGGGTTGAGATTCTGCTACTGGAACACAACACCCTCCATATAACCTGGCATGCATATGTGATACATTGTGGCCCTACGTACGCGATGTCTGTATCAGCGTGCCGTCGCCTGCTGCTTACCACGAGTGAAGTAGGGGGATGCAATCCCCGAGAGTCATCCCCTTGAGCGGCTGAGTGGAGTGGAAAACCACCTCGCCGTCCGTCAGATCAATCCGAAATTGTCCAACGTTGAGACGAAAGTTGGCCTTGTTGGCCACCACGTCGTAAGGGACAAGTCATGCGCACAAGTAAAAATAAAGGGGGAAGTTAGAGGACGACCAACACTTCTTTTTGCTGTAAGTGTTGGGAAAAAAATGCCCACGAGTGCAACCTGCAACTAATCGGAAGAATCGGCAAAAGAAGAATCTGAGGCAGCATCACGATTCGCTTTAAGCCCTTGGAGAACATGCGGGGACCCGTTTCTTGCAGGTTCACGCCGGAGCTGTAATGGGGAGCACTTTACGTGGGGAACGTATCGATGATTTCATTCAAATCGATCGCGCAACATCATCAAATCACTTGTTGCGTGAAGATCTAAAATGCATGTGTTGCTTGGACTGAGGGAGACACGGCAAGCCTCAGAGTGTCCCGCAACGAGACATTCCCAGTACATCACGGTAGCCTACTCAAGGTTGGCCAGGAGGAGGAGGGAGCCGTCGAAAAGTGTATGGGGTAGCCTACCCCCACGTCCACCATCACGCAACGAAAAATGGTACACCATGAAGAAAATTCCCTACGGGAAGGAGGAAGACAAAATATAACTGATTGTGTGTTCCCTCGTTCCACACAAATGCCACACCCATCTCACGGATTTCTCCCACTGCAACCAAGGCGTCCGGCCTCTGCGTTGTTGAAATGTAAGACAAAGGCCACAATGATGTACGGCCTCACCACATGGAACTCGATGAGCTACCGGTGCGTCGACCATGAACAAATAGAATATCCGAAAAAACACAGAAAAACGTCCACCGTGTATGTACTCCAAAAAATACCCTGGGTCAGGCCAAAGTATTGAGAGCGTTCCGGGTCGAAAGTTTCAGGGCAGGGACAATTAAAGGGGGTGTACTATTTTCTGACCTTGGCAATGTACGTCGCCGCCACGCTCCGCTGTCGCTGGCTTTCGATTTTGTCGCTTAGGATTGCCCTCATTGTGCTGCGAACCGAGTTCTCCTGCATGCAGGAGAAGGTAATGGTGTACCTCTCTTGGAAACGCGCCCTGAGCAGGGTCATGTTGTCCATCTCTTGACTCTCGTAGATATAGTTCTCGCGCGAGAGAATCGCTTCCATCGTCTGTACGACATGAGGTGCCTCTATCAATACTGGAACAAAGAGAGATGCGAGGGCGGGGGGCGGTATGGCACATCAGGCAGGGTGGTCAGCTGCGGTTTCGAGATCTACCCATGCGGCTACCCAGACCTTGACTGCGCGTTCTTCCTAGGTGAGGGGTCTGCCGAAACGAGTCGCCGGTAAAATACACTGAGGAGGGAGATCTCGATCATGCTGTTGTTGTGGATGCATTCGCTGTGCGTTACGGGAAATAATGCGATAGTGTGCCTTTTAGGACGGTGGTATATAGCAGCGACCAGGGCGAACCCTCTCAGCACCAAATGCTAAACCCACTTCAACCTTCCGTGAGGACACCAGAAAAGCGTAATATTCTTTCATATGTTACAACAGTACCTTTGAAAAAATCACCAAGCAGGGAATAGCTGGGATGGCCATGGACAACATGCATACAGAACTCGCAGAGGCAACAAGAAGAGACAATCTATGCTTGTTTCGTGCTATTGCTGCCGCATGTCAGGCAAACAACGAACGAACACACGCTGGGCGTCCCTATACGACTCATCAACAACCTCATACATACAAAAGTACATACGTGGATCGGTTATAAACGTCAATCAAGTTCGTGATTTACGCCCAGGCGGGTGGGTGTAGTGTCTGCGTGAGAAAGCACCGTGAAACACAGGTTGGGGTAGTATAACCGTGTGATTGGTGCACAACCATGCTTACCTGGCGCTGAAACAAATAGATAGAAGGTGAGCAAAATACGCGGTCTACCCGTTGTTCTACAGACGAAGTGCCACTGATATCCTACCAGACGGATGTGGTCTCATGTAGTATAGTCTGCAAAATTCGTCCACCACAGCAGTGGGAATAAGCGCCGAACGAATCGCTTGCGGGGTACCCAGTGGTAGACAGCTTCATTAATTCTATCGGGTTTAGTCTATAGCCCAATCGAAACACCAAGAGCCGTCATGAGATGGTTGGCCTTCTTCCGGGGAAAACTAACAAGTTAACAACCCGTGCCAGATGATGTGTACAAAAAAATACGGTACGCTCCCAACGTTTCGCAACCATCTTCGGCAAATCTACCGTCGTGCCCTTTTCCACGTGTGCTTACCTTCGTCCATGGTGACAGAGACCTGTAGTCCGTGGGTCTTGATTCAGCTAGATATATGTCCACGTGATGTAGATGTGTCCAGGAAGCAGCAGCCGGCGATGTGTTTCTCTCTTTTCCGCAGCCTACCACCCGATACAGGCGTCACAGCAGCAGCGGCAGCAGCAGCAGCAGCAATAGTCTCGTCACTATAATAGTTGTACACCACGCAATGTAAATAACATCTACAGGACTCTTTCGCGAGCACCAAGCCGGTATGAAGGCACATGGTTTAATATTTTAGTAGATGCATTTTGTAGCTCGAGAGCACGGATAACAGCGCAAGAGAGTAGACTGCTTCGGAGTGGCCGGCGGCTGTTTTGTTGATGCATTGATTCATGCATATTCTACAGGCCTCCACCCCGCAAGAAATCTACTCAAGGCGCAAGCGCGAAAATCGAGCAACAAAAATAATCGAAAATAGTGCATCATATGAACGGATCAGTCTGTGCCTTTCGCATTCAAGCGCGCCTTCTTTTGATAGGATTACTGTATCATCCATGCGTACCGCGTACCAAGAATTTCAACAAACCGATAACCGATAATACATCTGACACACGCCGAGCTTAAGGAGGAGATCGCGACATGCGGGAGGTAGAAAGGAACCCGCATTCGCCCGCAGTAACCGCAACCAGCACTTCCTTCATCGGCCAGATCCACAGGGCATCCGTCACGTAGCATCTTCCAGCCCCACACCCCAAAACCCCAGGACCCCAGGACCCGTGACCCACGACACAAATTCAAAAACTTGCTGGAAATTTCGAACTTTCCCGCCATGGTGGGAGTTCGTATGAGACGGGGGCTGGAAGTGGGTGGGGTATCGAAGGCGGCGCTGCCCTGAAAGGACAGGGAATCCTTGAACCTTTGGGAAATCACGGGCAGGCGTGGCCGAGGTGGGTGCCGCGGGAGGAGTGCCGAGCAAGTCAGGTGTGGAAGGTAGACAGCCGCAGCCGCAGCAGCAGCGGCAGCGGCAGCGGCAGCGGCAGCGGCAGCGGTGAGAACCCACCACCTACCACCTCCTAGGCCGGGCGTATGGTAGAAACGACACAGTAAAGCCATTTTTGTGACGCTTCATTGTATAGGAATTAGTGTGGTAAATGTAAGCTAATACACCTCCCGCTGGGTTTTATATTGTATGTACTAAAACTAAAACGTCTACACAATATGAATATATTGGTTTCACTGTGCCCTCCCCAAAATCCTATACAATAGACCCCTTAACCAACTGCGACAGCGTGTTTTCTTGGAGACAGACGAGAAGGGCCACGCATCAAGTTGGGGGGGGCAGCCAGTAACGCCTGATGGAGCCGGAGATACCATGGGTACGTCGCTGGAGGCAGGTACGATCGGGGGGTGGAGTGTCGATGCACCGCTGCAACAACAGTCGGGTGGTTTCGTACCGCAGCACCAGCAACAGAGGCCGTGGGGGGGG